TTTTTTTAGGATTTTAATTTTTTAGAATTATAGTTTTTTAGAATTTTAGAAATTATTTTTATCAAAATTTTTGTTTTTAAAATTTTTAATTTTATTTTGATAGAATTTTATATTTTTTATTTTTTCAAATTAAAAAAATATATTTAAATACTTGTTTTTTATATTTTGATTGTTTTCAAAATTTTCACTAAAAACACTTAAAATGTTAAAAATGCGTTTTAAGTTTTACGTTATAAATTAACTATGTTTTCAAAAATATATTTTCAGAAATATTAGACCAAACATATTTTTAGTGTTGTGAAATTGAAAACTAAAAACAGCTTGAAAATAATAAACCAAACACACCCATAATGTTTCACTAAGTTGAGTTTTCTCCGAAGCTTAACCGATCATGTTTTATTGCTTATTTATTATTGTTAGAATAATTTAGTTTAAAACACCAGAATTATCAATTGTGTGTTTTGTTCGATTAAAGTTGGATTAATTGAATCACATCTAAAAATGCAATTCTTATGGGAACAATACTTAAGGTCCTTTTGATTGCAAAGATGTAATTGAATTGCCTAGTTGTCTAGAATTGCTTTTCTGAAAATTATAAATTATTGTGTTTGATTAGTATAATTCTTTACGTGAAAAATATTGAAATAAAAATATTTTTTGATATTTGTTTGACTTTGTTTTATATGAAAAATGTCAATTAAATGGATGAAATATACTGGTATTGGAAATGAAATTTGTTTTCATTGTCAAAAAAAAATATTCAAGAAATTCAGCTATCTTTGGATGTTCGTTTGACTTTATTTTCATAAAAATTGTCAATTAAAGGGAAATATTCTTTTTATAATAATTTTTAGAATTTATTTCCATTGCCAACAAAAAAAAAAAAAAAAATGTTACAGTACCTGAGAAAACCGATACCCACCACATAATGAAAATATGGAAAACCACACTTTCCAAGATAATCAAGAATTGGAATTCCATGAAAATAATTGTGCTACCAAACAACAAAAAAATGAAAAAGATGGAATTGGAATTCCATTTCCATGCTAGTTTATCATTTGTCCATGATATCGTACATTTACTGAGTTTCTAGCTAACCATAGTAAATTTATAGGAACAACTGTTTTCATATTGGAAATAAGAATATTAGTTTTTAATATTCAACCAACATGTTGTGCTCAAGTGTCGGATGATTGAAGAATGGTAAAAATTGAGTCTGATTTTTTGACCGTTAACTTGAAATGTGGATCCCACCTGTTAGTGAAGATGTCATAGTTGACGGTTGACTATAGTAAGTAACGATCAAAAAAATTGATTTTTTAGCTTGAAAAATTATAACCAAACAGGAGCTTAGATTTTGGTAAGCCCAAACTTGAAATTACTCTCTAAATTTAGGCATTGTTTGGCTTTGAGCAAATTGGTTGTTAAAATGTACAAAAAGTCTAGTGGTCGACTTTTACTTAAAATAATTGGAAGTCCTCAATTGAGTTAAAATTTGAGTCAAGCTGGAACAATTGGTTGCATTTGTTAACGTACGGCCACAGTAAATTGACCTCAGAGTAAACAATTGGTAGCATTTGTTAACGTACGGCCGTAGTCATGTATGTATAACTTTACCCATGTGGGTTTTGGACACATCAAATATTCAAAGGACCATGCTATTCGTACATTGTGGCTGTCGATCCCCTCACAATAGGGTGGTCCACGATTTTTTTATTCTCCGTGGGCCTTCCTTTGTTGTGAGGGATCGGTACACTCGGTGTACAAGTATCAAAATTCATATTCAAATGTGGAGACATGAGATGACCTCACACAAATGTAGGTTCGAGTCAAAGCCCACGTGAAAGTGCTATTCGTTAAGCTATAAAAAAAAAGTGATGAATTTGTGGATAATACTTATGAATCTATTGAAATACGCAGTAAAAAATGAAGTTTAATCGTGTATAAATATAAAAATTTCCAAACTGAGGGTTAATATTTTGTTGTAAAATACAAATATAATTGACCATGATATTTTCTTGAAATATGATTCTTTTTTGTTATATTTTTTAAAT